ATGCATCCCACTGGTCCTATGTCACATGTATACCTGGGTAAGAAATAAGTCCCGTGAGGGTGGGAGTTTTGGCTCTTTGCTCGCTGTTGTGTCCCTACACCTAGAAGAAGCTTGACACGTGGGAGACTATGTCTTCTGATGGAATGAATTAACCCATATGTTGAGTATGTGCTCATGCAGCTATTATCCCTGAGAAATATACCCACTTCAGTGCTCATTAACCTTTTCACCCAGGAGAACTGAGCTCTGGGTCAGGAAAGGGAGAGGGCAACCTGCAGGCCTCAGTCAGGAGAGGTGGAAAAAGAAGAGAGAGAAAAAAGCCTTCAGAGGGGAGGAGAGCGCGGGTGGTGGACAGGTGTCCAGGCAGAAGGTCAGGAACTAGAAGCAGCACCATTCCGGGCTGCTTCTTCCCTGTAGATTTTGTGTAGCCCCCAGTGTGGGCGCTGATTCCCAGATTATTGAGTTTAATGGTTCACAGACAGGGGTCCTGGTCCCCCAGACCTCTTTGAAGACAGAGATGGGTCTCCTCCACCTGTTTTTTGTTTGTTTTCCAAAAAGAATATCAAAGGGAAGCAGGTTTTTCTCCCAGAGATAAGGCAGGTAGGGTGACCTAAAATGCCAGTTTCTTCGCTTTTGGCTAGAATTTTACAAGCTCAGTGCAGTCATCTGGTTTTCCCATGCTGACCCAAAACCCCCATAGGTAATGACATCCCTGTCTGTGATTAATGAACATGGGGAAGATGAATTAATGATGCTTTTCAGAAAGGGGGAAAGAGGTAGACTGTGTGCCAGTGGAACTCTCCCATCTTGGGTGGGGACACTGACACTGCAGATGGTGAGATTATTTCTCCAAAACTACACAACAGTGCAGTCGAACAGCTGGCCCCAAACTCTGGGGCCCTAACTCTTGCTCCCATCCTTTTGCCATTCTTTTAGTTTTCCCCGAAAATCTTCCAAGACTCTCTTAGCCCAATACTATCCTGACATATGTACAACACAGTTTCCAAAGTTCCTTTATATATACCCTTTCAGCAAGGCAAACATTGTTCTTCACTACTGAGGTTCTGAGCGATTCACACAATCAGCTCATCATCAGGAAGATCTTTTGCCACCTGCATACTGCCTTTCCCTTCCATCTCCTGAGGCCTAACATTTCACCATTAGAACTGTATTCCTTTAGCTTAAGGCATTGGCCATCTTTTATTTCCAAATGCCCCTGGAAATGATCATATTTGAGCTACTGTCAGGAATAATTTTGCAGACAGTGTCAAATGCCTCTTTTTGCCATGCTGGAGCAAGGACGCCATGTAGGGCCAGTACCAAGTTCTGGCCAGGCGAGGGAAGGTCATTGATCCCTTTGACCCTCCTGGCCTAAGCCTCTCTTCTGTGTCACACTTGTGCCATGCTAGGTGCCAGGGGCTGGGGATGCTGGGGAAGCGAGGCGTGCTCCCTGCCCTCGAGGAGCTCATAGTCTAATGAACCCTGTAAGTACTGGGCATTGAATAGGAGAAGCCCAGGAGCTGGCTGAGACAGGAAGGGCCTGCCAACCTCAGAGGTCCAGGAGGACAGAGTCCAGAAGATCAGAGATAATGCCCAGGAGCAGGTGACGTCTGGGTGAGCTCCCATGTAGGGCGGAGGCTCTTTATCCTCTGCCCATGTCTGCACCCGCTGGTGAGTGTGGGGTTGGGGGTGGGGGCATGGGGAGTGGTTGAAGGAGACCTGGTCAGCACTTTTAAGCCTGTGCAGGAGCCAGCGGGAGAGGCAGAGTCCCACAGTTCTCCTAGTTCCTGCCGTTCTGCTTGTGCCTCGTCAGTCCCTAACCACCAACTCCTGGGTTTTCCTTGAAGCCACTTCTTTCTTCTAAAACATGAAGGCAAGATAATGGCTCCCAAGGAGAGAAGGAGCCCCAAGCCAGCTCCTCAGATCATTGCTGGACAATGCCTTTCCAAAGGGAAAGATGCCCAGGATAAATTTGGCTAGGAAAACTCTGAGGATTAGGACTCAAGTGACAATGCAGGGGACAGAAGATGTCTTGATGGTGTTTACCAAGCCTGAGTCCAAAGACCACAGGTCAAAGAGCGGAGGAGAACCTGATGGATTTGTGCTGACAAGGTCCGAGGAAAAGCAAGATGTTGGAGGGTAGACTTAGGCAGAAAGGGCTAGTGAGGGGAGCAAAGGTAAGGAGGAAGGGCAAGGCTAAGGAGCCCAGGAGAGCCAAAGTGGTCCAGGAAGGGGAAGGGCATCCCATACAAATGCAGGATGGGGAGGTCTGGGGGCAACTCATATCATAGCCTCAGTAATTAACCAGCTTGTGTACCTGAAGACGTAATTACAGGCAAAACAACTCCTTTGATGTAAGAGTGTAGTGTAGTCTGGGGGAAAAGAGGGGCAAAAGAAAGAAAGAGTGATTTTGCTTTAATATGGAAACAAGATTGATGGAAAAATATTACCAAACAGGCAAACAGGCCAAACAAAGAAACAGAAGGTTGAGAAAACGAGACCAGACTGAGTGGGCACCCAAGACACCTAGGGCCCTTGGGAGCATCATGGCTGGCCTGGCCAGGCACTGCAAAAATTCACTGCTTTCCTTTCAAAGAGTTCACATGTTCTTATCAGGCTGGTCGCCTTCTCATCCCCTACCTGTTCTCTGCAGAAATTCTCAGCAAGGTTCCAAAGAGACCTGTTTATTTATGGAGTCAAAGCCCCAGAGAAAGAGGTGCAGAGGGTTTGAATGGCTCCTCCTCGGAAGCAAAGGTAATCAAGAATGGAGCTGAGCTTGTAACCCAGCATCTTGGATGCCTGTCCCAGAATATAACTTCTGAAACACCACCCTTTCTGTTGGGGCCAACTTTATTAGAGAAATCTGTTAATTGGGGGTTGGTGAGGGAGGAGGGATGCTAACATGATTTAACACTTGATGGACTCTGAAAAAAATAAGGAAGGACATTCGAGCTTTAGCACATTCATCGTTCCACAGACACGTTACCAAAATGAATATATGCAACTATACTGTATGTGACACTCTGGGGCACAACAGCATAGACTTTGTGAAACAAAAAGGCATTTCTCCTGCTTCCAACGTGTCTCTTGTGGTGCCATTGTCTGATGCTAAGAACTCACATAACAACAGAAAACAATGCCCCTATGATGGGGGGGAAGACTTGATATGGCACCAGCAGTGATGTTTTCCATTGGAATGATGGCGGGGGCTGTGGCTGACTGTGGGAATAGTGCAAATCAGCAATTTTTGGAGATTTTCTTCAAGCCATTGTTTGTTTTGGCTTTGGTCAGATTCGTGGCCCAGCTTGAAGATTCCCACTGGTCTTTCTGAAGCTTGCGATCTATGACAGATGAAACAGGGATAAATTAATAATGACAAAACACCCTACCCCCACCCTGGCACTCATGTGTGGGGCGTGCCTGTCTTGGTGCGTGTGTATATACATACACGCAGGTCACAGTACTGCATAGGTGCACATTTGGCCCATGCCTCCACTGGGGAACTAAAGAGAGACCAAGGTTTTCTCCAGGCTTAGGTGGTTCATCGTCTCACTATCATCTTTCATCTAGGGCAAGGGAGATCAGTTTTTGCAAAATGGCGTTGGTTAAAACTTGTTTGAAACTGTACTTCCTAAAGTCCTTAGACGTTTATAGACTTTTAAGCATGAGTGACTCGGATTGTGGTTCCGATAGAACAAATAGTAAGTAATTGTTCTGATGATGCAAGTAATTTATCTCACAGCTTTTAGGAGCTTCTCCTCTACGCTGGCCAAAGGATGCAGAGATCAATCAAGATGGAAAATGAGCAGAGCATGTGTAGTATGATTATATTATGATACAAACTGTGAATATATTGGCTTTAAAATGCCAAATACTGATTGTTCCTGTCATATCAGCAGCAGGTTATTATAGACTACAAATACACAGGACTTTGGTGAGGGTGTGTGTATTCTGTTTTACATAGTGAGTGTTTTTACAAAGAAATGTACTTTCATCTTTTCAAAAAGTTTCCATTTCCAGGAAAAGTCTTCCTGACAAATGTGTGTGAAGCTGACTCTAAACAGGGTGGCTGGGTTGCACAACTCCATGGGGCAGCATTCACTGTGTCTTCTAAGTAAACGGTTTCCCTGGAGGAAAACTCCAGGTGACCTCGCAAGTTGACAATACTTAGGTGGGCTTATTGCAGATATGTTTTCCAACAAAGTGCAGAACAGTCTTGTTTCTTGCAACTTATTTCCCCCCTTAGCTGCAGGTAGGGGACTCAGGCTCTTGTCTGGGTCTATACTGGAAGCAAAAGCTCTTACTATGGGCCAGGCAGTGTACTAAGTGCAGATATAATTTAATCAGCACACGAATCTTATCAGAGGTTTCGTGGATGGGGAAACTTAGGCCAAGGGCAGTTATAGGACTCACCCAGGCACACACGCAGTCTGTATGCAGCAGAGCTGGGACTTGAATCCTTCTCTATGGCACTCCCAAAGGGCCCTGACTCCCACCGTCCTTCCCGGGCCTGGAGAGCACCCATGGTTCCTGCAGACTCTCACTGGGTCTGCAGTAGCAGTGAAACAATGTCAGCTGGGGCAGGGGTCTTCAGAACCAAAAGGTGGAATTCAGCTGGGGTAGGGGTGGGAGGTTCCTGGGCTGCCACTTCTGCCTTTCTGTCAAATAAGAGAGCCAGGTGTGGAGGCACCCTACCGTGAGCTTTGCACAGCTGGACTATGGCTGGGAAGAGGAGTGTGGGGAGAGATGCTTACACCTCCTCCCTCTTCCTGGAAAATAACTTTGCATTCGAAGGGAGAAAGAAAGAGTGAGTAAATCTGTAACTGGGATTTGGTGGCCTGGGGATTTCATTTGGCCCCGTGAAGGTAGATGCCCGTGCGTCTGTGAGTGAGTGAGTGAGTGTGCGTGCATTGGGGGAAGAGAACTTGAGGTCACATGTGACGATATTTTGGATTGGGCTTTTATTTTTTAAGTCATAGCAGCCCCCATTTGTTGGAAACCTACTATGTGCCAGGCATTGGTATTACTCTTATGTGAAGAAAAAGATAGCTAAGTAGTTTGTTTTTATGCCGGTGCGCTCACAGCCTTCGAGTATTTTTTTCCATTCGTGTTTAAATCCTACGCTCTACAATGTGGTAAGATTTGGATAGAGTCGGGGAGTGTGCGGAGACGGGCAGGGGGCGGTCCCTGCCTCGCTTGTCTCCACCTTTTATTTTGACCGGTCTGATGGCGACCGGCTCGCACTAGGACCCAGGCGCCAGAGCGCCTCCGTCTGTCCTGTAGGTTCATTCAATCTCCCATACACACAGACCCACTGCGAGACGGACACACACTCACACTCAGACACACAACTGCACGGAGCGAGGCTCGGGAAGTCAGGTCGCCTCCTCGCCTCGGCGCCTTCTTCGCTCCAGCCAGCCGGTTCTCCCCTGGGGCCCGGAGCTTGGCCGGGCCGCGCCGCCCCAAAACAGGACGAGCTCGGCGGACCCCGGTTCCTCCATGGGCAAACGCGGGCGGCCGCGCAAGGAGGCGCGCTGCGAGGGTGCGGGGCTGGCCCCCGCCGCGCCCCCGGCCGTGACCGCGCCCGAGCCCCCGGCCCAGCCAGAGGAGCTCGCGGGGGCCAAGCTCAGGTGCCCCTTCTCGGACATTTTCAACACCAGCGAGAACTCGATGGAGAAGCACATCAACACTTTTCTGCAGAACGTGCAGATTCTGCTCGAGGCCGCCAGCTACCTGGAGCAGATCGAGAAAGAAAACAAAAGTAAGTTTGGGGGCGCTGGCTCCTCCTCGGCGCCCGGCTCTTTCTTCCTCGCCCATTTGGGCGACCCCTGTCGCCTGCTTGACCCCCCTCCCCCAACACACACACATCCAGCCCTCGGCAGTAAAGCCGATGACACCGGAGAAAGGACACGCACGCACAAAGCTGCTAAAGATGTAACAAAGACGAGCGGGGGGAAGGGGGGGGCCTGTCGGTGCGTCCGTCTGTCCGTCTCCCAGAGGCTGGCAGGACCGCTGGGCCGAGGAGCGGGGGAGTGTTGTTGTTTGCTGACAACTGAGCCGAGAGCTCATCTCTTCGAGGTCGCCTTTCTTCCTTTTTTTTTTTTTTTTTCCGGAGCCTTCTCGGGCAGACAAGTGTTGTTTTTCTGTCGCTCGTTCCTGGGTGGGGTGGGGATTAGAAGCCGAAAGTTGGAAACTGTAGGCAGAGCTTAGCGGTTCCAGAAAGAAAACACACAGACACACACGACAACGATAACACCAACAACCAAACAGCCCTCCACGGCGTGGGCTCGGGCTGGCTCGGGTCTTCTCCCTCCTGTCTACTTTGCTTTTTCCTCTCCTCTCGCAGCAAGGCTGGGCTCAGGCCATCGCGTCCACGGATACAGTCCTCCTGCGCCTCTGGTGCCCTGTGGTTTCCTCACCGCCTCCCCCCCCCCCGAAAGAAACAGGCCGGCAAAGCCAAGCACCGCCAGCAGCTCGCCCCGGACCCGCCGCCCTGCGCCCGGGAAACTTGGCGAGGGGGACGCAGCCAGAAGGAAACTTTGGGATCTCGCAGGAAACAATAGTTATGGAAGAAGGTGTAGGCTGTTATGTTCGGGTTTTTTTATTTTCCGGGATACGGCTCCCGAGTGAGCGCGCTGGGCGAGGAAGGCAAATGCCTTCCTCGTGGATTTCTACTGTTCCCCCCCCACCCCAGATTCAGGTGGAGAGCGATGCTTGGGGGTGGTGGTGCTGGGAGCCCCACCCCGGCCTGGCCTCCTTTTTGTATTTGTTTGTTTCATTTTTGCCTCTGCCAACTGGGTTCCCCCATCCTCCCCAGGCAGTCGCTCAGCGCCGTTAACGGGGGCACGCGTGTGCGGCGTTTCCAGCACGGTCCTCACAAATAATAGCTGCGAGAAGGGCGAAGGGGCCGAGGAATATAGACTGACAGAGTAGAGAAAAGCAGGCTGTTTAATCTGTCCGAACAAGTAGGAAGATCAATGAGATGAGAGAGAGAGGAGGAGAGAGAGAGAGAAAGAAAGGAAGAAAGAAAGAAAGAAAGAAAAGAAAGAAAGGGTCCGATTGCAACGTGTCAGATCTTGCAACCTACTCCCCCTCCCCCAAACACAACAACAACCCTCAAACACAAAAACACCTTAGCTGACCGACACCCCAGGCCTTCGGGGTTAAAGTAACCGTGTGATGGCAGCGAAATCGTGCAGTAGCTTAAGGCAAAAACAAGGATTTGTGTAGCGTGGTCGGTGGTGCGTTCTTTTCTTCTCTCCTGTTTTCTCGGAGTGCCTGGGTTGCGAGAAAGGCGCATCGTCGGCTGTGTAGCTGAATGTTTGCGATTATTCATGGGATTTTGGGGGGGGGGGCAGTGTGCATTCGTCAATAGGGTAGTTTCTGAAAAGCCAGAGCTGGTGGGGAGGTGGGGGAAGACGTGGTTTTGTTTGGTGTGTTCGCTTTTGTTGGAAGGGGAAGGGGCGTGATTTCTTACGCTATCCCCCGCCCGGGTGCCCTGTTCCCCTGAGTCTGTCCCGTGGCGCCGGCTCTGGCCGGGGGTGCACCCAAAGAGGGCACCTTGGCAGTGTGTGGCAAACCTGGTTGGCCCCCTCCGACCCCCTCTACAGAAGGGTGTACTAAACAGGCTGCTGGAGCTTCCACCGCATCCCTCGCCCCCCGCCCCTCGCACTCGCAGACAATCGGAGACCTCTGCTCCCCACCTCGCCGCCCCCACCCTCGCTCCCCAGGCCGCCTCGGCCGCCGCCACCTCCTTGTTTACCGGTGCCGGGGCTCTGGCGTGGCCACCAGTCACGTAAGCAGAGGGCCGGGCGCGCTGGGCCGGGCTGCCCCGCACCGGGCGGGCCAGCGGCAGCGGAGCCAGGCTCCCGAGACCGTGGAAGCCAAGGGGCTTCCTCCTGGTCCCTTTCCCGAGGTGTCCGCGCTGCAAGACCCCGAGAGGGGCTCGGGAACCTGGGCGCCCCAATCGAAGTCAACTTCGTGTGCGTAATCAGCCCCTCGGCCCCGCTGCCCCCCTCCTTCGGCCGGCTCCCCGCGGGAGTATTTTTAGCTCTCTTGCCTCTTTTCGCAGCCGCTGTTTGGCTCAGCATGACGTGATGCCAGCGGCCCCCAGATTTCCCCGAGAGCGGGAACTCCGCTCGAGGCCCTTGCCCCCTCCCCAACAGCTCACGCAGGCGAGGGTGACCTCCAGCAAACTATGGGGCGACCATCCGCAGGGCCCTCTATTATCTCCCCTTAAAATTGGAGCGGCCCACGGAGGCCACTTTATTTTCCCCACTCTCGCCCCGCCTCCCGCCCATCTCGGTCTCCTAGTACGGAAAACAGCGGGCCCTACATCTGCCTCATTTTATTAGGGGTGCTTCTTCGCGCTGGCAGCGCTCGCCGTTGTTTTCTGCTCGCTGCACACAATGCCCGCGCGTCACGGCGCTCCGCGTGTGCACAGCAATAATGCGAGTCGGGGGGCGGGTCGTGCGTGCGTCGGGTTCGGGCACTGAGGGTCCCTCCGCGCGCGCAGGACTTGTTTTGCTTCAGAGCCCCGCTTTCCGAAACGCTTACATCATTCAGTCGTTGGGGGAGGGAGGGGAATCTAGGCGTTCCGATAGGATTACAGCGTTTCTCAGGTCCCTGGTTTTTGGAAGGAAGCAAGGACCCTAGCTTTTTAATTATTTTTATGATTGGGCCGGGGGGGCTCAAGTTTTGTTAGTTGGGCAAGGTTTTTTTGTTTGTTTGTTTTCTTAGGTCACTACTGCAAAGGGCATTACTGGCCGGCTCAGGTGCACAATCTCCCCGCTTTCATTTCAGCCAGTTCTCCTGTAATCACTTGATCTCAGTTTCTCCGCCTTCTCCTCTTCCCCCTCCCAGCTAGAGACACATGGTTTCCACATGGAGACAAACTTCTTTCCTCTGACTGGACTTGACCTAGCAGCGTCGCTCAGCCAATCGGCAGCTTCAGCTTCCTCTAACGTCACGCGTTGCTGAGGCCAGAGACTGGGGGGTGGAGCCAGGAGGCAAGCCAGAAAATCACGGGGAGCTCTAGTTTGGCCAGCTGGTACAGTCCCTTCTTAAAGGGACGCTCTTCACCCGGGAGTTGAGCCTCAATTCTCCATTTCGGGTTCTGTGAGACATTCGCGAAATGCACCGATAAGGCCCTGGTCACGAGTTTACACGTTCCGCTTTTACCGTTTGCAAAGTATTTACTTGGCAGGAGCTTGCCTTATTTTCCGTTGTCACCAGAACTGCTTTTCATGGCTTCTTTGAGGTTTCCGTACTAGGAGAGCTCACTGAGTGTACACAGTACTGAATTATTCTCAGTATATATAATGAGTTTTCTTGGGGTGTTCAAATTAAGTCACTCAGTATTGACTGCTCTGTGCAAGGCAAGGATTGCTTAGGATATGCTGGTACATTCTCCCAAAGTTCCAACTGATGTGAATCCCTGAGAATCTCAAACTAAAGGCCTCCAGAAATATTAATCACGGATACTGTGACCCTGTTTTCACAAATTCAGAAATTATACATAAATAACCTCTGACATATCACCCATATCCATTTGGGGTCCAGTGGAGGGATAGTAATTTAGGACTGACTGTTTAGTAGAGAAAATATGTACTTCCTGTTTTGGAAAAGGTTAAAAATGAAAGGGAATAAGAAATTCACAAAAGGGTGTTCTGTGCGTAGAAGTTGTTCAGCAGGCAAGTGGAAGTTACTATAACCGGTGAGGTCTACAGGACAGAAAAGGGCTTCCCAGTCTGTAGGGAAGGTGGCTTTGGGGCAATGCTTAAGATAGAAAAGAATGATTAAATGGGAGTAGAAGCCATGGGTGGGTCTCTGGAGTGCATTACCTGGGTTTGAGGGTGAGGTGCTTTCCTAAGGGCATGGACAGGCCAAAGAGCAGCCTCTTCCTCCAGACAGAGGAAGCTGCTGCTGTGTGGTGTCATTTGGCCCTACCCTGCCTTCCTGACTTAATCTCCTCTGCTCCCATCCAGCAGGTCCACCAGCAAGCAGGCTTTACAGTCATGTGTCTATGCTTGACTTAGACTCTTCCCTCTGTCTAAAATGCCCTCATTCTCTTACTCCCCTGGGGTTATCTGTGTCTTACCTACTCTTCAAGTCCTAGGTCAGTTCCCACCTCCTCCAGGAAACCTCCCCTGGATATTTCTTAAGTCAGGGTAGTTGAGAGAATGAAAGCTTTACAGTCACCCAGAGCAGGGCCCAAATCCCCCCTTCACTGCTTACTGGCTGTGTGACCTTGGGCACAAGTTACCTAACCTTTCTGAGGTTTCATTTCTTTTTTGTAAAACAAGGATAACAATAGCATCGGCCTCCTGCCATTGCTGAACAACTAACTGAGGTTCTCCATTTAAAGTACCTGGAATGTAGTAGGTGCTCAATAAATAGTCACTTCTTTGAGCCTTGATAATCAGCAATTCTCTACTTGTTGGCTGTGCATTAGCTTTATCCTCACAGGGAGAAGATGAGCATCTTGAGGGAAAAGATCACTTACAGTATTTCAGTATATGTCACTGTTGCATAACACTGGGCATATGGTAGACAATATACATCCTTTGATTGGTTGGATTTGTCATTTACTGGCTATGGCACAGTGATCAGGTCTGAAGGCCAGGGGACACATGACAGACTTTCTGAAGACTTGGAGAAGAACTGGAAATACTGATCTCTTCCAAGGAGGGAGGATGTCTCCCATTATCAATGCAGAATGCCCTTGGGCTGTAAAGACCAGGGCTTATAAGGAGATGGTAGGTCAGGCCTAGAGAGCTGAAACTACATCAGCTGTGACCCTACAGACGGATCAGTTACTGGTTTAGAGAGCAGGAAACCAGTGCAATTTATGCTAAAATTGAGGGCTTTGGTGGCAACTAACGTTCACCTAGGTCACATTTCTGTACAGCAGGCATCTTACGATTCATTCATTCATTCACTCCACAAATATGTATTGATCATGTACTATGTGCAATTGCTTTTTTTTCTGAAAACTCCATGGGTTGATTTATGATGGGACTGGAGTAATGTACTTGTTTTTGGTGGAGTTATGTAAAGAGCATTATTAAATCAGGCTTCTGTTTCCTCTGCATCCTAAATTATGTTCCTCAGATTCAACTTTTTTTCTAGTTTTAAATATTATCTCTGCCCATAGGTAAATGCCAGAAATAGACTTTTGAGGATACTGTTGTGGCTTTCAGAGTCCCAGAGCTCCCAGGGACTGGGCAACCTGTGGAGGAAACCCAGGAAAAGCATCCGGACCTTGGGAAGTTAGAGAAGCTGAATTGAGCCATTCCTGGATTGGGAGGTGGGGGCGGGGGGAAGCTCTATCAGATCCAAGGCAAAACAACAGCTGCTCACCTACCTGCCCTCTCTGACCAAAACACTGTCCCACTGATGCACCTAGAAATGGGGGTTTTCATCTGAGGATGGCTGGCAGAAGTCTGGGGGTAGAACTGAAAGAAAGGAAGAGGGTGCCGGCATGCGGCGGCAGCAGCAACTAATTGCGTTGTATAATGTCAACACTGGCAACTATTTATGGAGTACTGACTATACTTGGTAAAGAATGGGGCTAAACATGCGTTATCTCCTCCAATCTTCACAACAGCCCCATGGCATATGCACTTCTATTACCCCCATTTTACAGAGGGGGTAACCGAGGAACAGGGAGCTGAGTAACTTGCCCAAAGGTCACAGGGTTAATAATGGCAGAGCTGAGTTTTGAACCTAGGCCTCTGATTCGACTGAGCCTACAGTTTTAACCATATATAGGTGTATGCATTTTCCAGCCAAGGAATGAAGTCCAGAGAGGTGAAATGACTTGCTCAAGGTCACCCAATAATCTGAAGCAGAGTGGGTGTTTGTAACACCCTGTTGATTGTCCAGGGTCTTTCTGCACACACTCTGCTTAGAAAAGGTTTAGAAGTGAAGCTGGAGACAGGAGAGCCAACCAGAGAGATTTTGTTTTTGTTTTTCGGAGTTGTTCAACTCTGCTGGCCCTAACTCAAGTTTAGGCTCCTAGGAAACACTACCCCCCTCCTACTGCCTTTCCCAAGTCTGTCCTCTGGACATATTAGAGGACTTGGGGCTGTTGCTATGGTACTAGGGCCAACAGCAGGTTCACCAAAAGCTGGGTCTTTTGCCTTTTAAAAAAAAGCCTGGCCCTGCAGAAATGAATTGGCCACAAAGATTTGCATCAGTCATTGTGGCTTGTTCTGTTTTAGATCCCCCTGCCTCCCTACCCCACCCCCTCTTCCCTACCACCACCACTTTCTATAAATACAGTTGGATAAATATTGATTTAAACTGGGTTTCTGGAGGAGAAGCCCATGGTTGCCCTGGCCTGGTCTTCACTTAGATACCACCAGTATGCCAGGCCTGACACACCTAACCCCTGATAGCGCTGGCTTCCAAATGACCCGTTTGGGGGAGGTGACTTGTGGTTTTGTGGCTTTTGAGTTTAAAAAAGAGAGAGAAAGAAAACGAAGTATAAAAAGCAATAACCCAGCAAAAAATGGGAATCTTCCTGCAGAATGAATAAAGGCATTTTCAGCAGGAAGAAATGGGGGAAGGTTTATGGTAACCTGGCCTTCTGAACCAGTTCTCTTCCCTTTCCCATTCTGCCTTCCACTCCCTTTTGGGTTTTGTTTTAAAGGAGGCAGGTGGTAAGACGGAGCATCAGGGCCAGTAGGAGCCCCAGAGGTCACAGAGCAGCCATCATCCTCACTATACAGACGGGGAGGCCGAGGCTCAGAGAGGGACAGTGGCTTACCCAAGATGACGCAGGAGAGGCAGAACCAGGTCCTTCTGGGCTGTGTTGCCTCCCGCCTGACGTGAGAATGGGTCCCAGGCAGAGCCCCAAACCGGGCTTTTGTTTTACAAGTCAGGTGCTCATAAAGTCAGCAATTCTCAACCCTGGTTTACTGATCCCAGGGTGTGTCCGGTTATTGCAAAGGTCATTGCGACATTCTCAATAGTCTCTCAAAATTGAGCTAATTTGAATTCACCATTTAGAAGAAATATTTTCTTTTACATTTAGTGGGGGGGGGAGTGGGTGGAGCCTGAAGGCGATGACAGTGACAGGATGGCTACCCAGCCTTAACTGAGGAGGAGGAATTCAAGTCTTCCTGGAGGGGCCTCCTTCTGGGGGTGGAGGGTGGAGCTCTGGCTCACACTGGAGAGAAGCTTCAATTCCGCAGGGAGAGACACCTGCTCTCTGGCTCTTCTGCTAAACTAAAGGGAAGTAATTTTCTCGATACTGTTGTCCCTGAGTGGCCTGGCTGGAGGTGTCAAAGCTGTCAGCAGCTGACTTGATCTCTCCTCTCCGGCCAAAACGAATGGGCATTTGCCACCATCCTCCCCGGCTGGAGGTTCCTTCTTTGCTTCCTCATCTTGGCAGAATGCTGTACAGGGCCCCTTGCTTGTGAAATATTTTGAAAGTTCAGGTGACCCTTGTTTTGAGCAATACATCTCCAGGAAATATATGTAAATAGGATCTCTTTTTTTAAAAATTTAGGTTAGAGAACCTTTCTTTAAAAGGCCCCTGTGGCAAATAATTTTATAAAATGTGGAATTATATTGCATGCCAGGAATTCTCCTTAAATGTGTTCTGTGAGTTTGTTCATTCATCCATCCATCAAACTGGTATTTCAGGGGTCCACACTGCTTTATGTCAGGCTCTGTGCTAGGACCTGGAAGTACAGTTTCCTGCCATCATGGAGTTATACTCTATTGCAGTGCCAGATTTAGAAATTCAGTTGTCTTAAAGTAAACCCCAGCCATGTGGGACTGCATCTGACTTGGGCTTTGTGTCTTTGGTTCTAGCCATCATTACAGATAGAACAAAAATTTATGCTGGGCTTCCAAAAAAAGGAATAGTCCCTCCCCTCCCTGCATGCACCCTGCCACCCCCCAGCCTGGTGTTTAAAACCCTTTGTGTTTATCCTTGTAATATTTACAGATCTGACTCTTTTTTTGTTTTTTTTAAAGCTGCCTGAGCTTAGGAAATCAAGTACTGTGTAAGCAACCTTGTAAATGAACACATTCCACTCCTAGTTCTTTACAGACGGGGGCACTCTGCACTTGGAGGATTGTCCCTAGCAGTGCTCCTACCAAGCCTGCTCTCCCATACAACATGCCCTTGGCCTCATACCTCTAATATCCAACTCCAGTGTCTGCCAAGGAAATTTAAACACAGCAAAATTAGAAAGATAAACACAGTGTCCTGAGGGAGAGAAAGATTGGGAAGTTTAAAGCTAATAAAAGGGGATTTGGATTACCTGCTATTTGAGATATTTTACTCCGTGTCTTTATTGCCATTAGCAAGGATACTTGAATAAAGATGATCCGGGACTATTTTAATACTGTTGTATTAAAATGGAGGGCGTGCCCAGGGCTGCTCTGTTTTTGGCCATGGGTGGCAAGTGTAAGTGCATGTGGCCTCTGTTTTTATTTCTACAGGGGCCCAGAACTTCCTAATGATGTCCCTGTGTTATCTCCCTCTTACCTCCACCACACCTGACCATCTCTACCATATTTCTTGACTCCCAAGACTCTGAGTACCTTGCATGCAACTTTCTTTCCTTTTTTCCACCAGCTGTAAAATTTCTAACACCTGTGAGGAGCCAAGCACCGTGCTTGTTGCTTCCAAAGTGCAGTATGTATGGTCTCCAGTTCCAGTTCTATATTCCAGTGCAAGTGACAGACAAATGGAGAACAGTAAATAATACTTGCCTGTCTCCTGTGAGTCTGATAGCCTGTCCCCAAGGAGGCTGCTGACAGATACAATGTTGTCTCTGTTTTCCAAAGGAATAGTGATAATGGTGCCCTTTTACTGAGCAGTTACTATGTGCCAGCACAATGCTAAGTGCTTTATATTAAATCCTAACAATCATCCAACAGGAGGGTGCTGTCATTATCCTCATTTTATAGATGAGGAAAGCCTTAGCCTTAGCAAGGCTAACTAACTTTCCCAAGGCCACCTGCTAACAAAGAGTGGCGCTGAGACTCAAAACCAGGTTTTTCTTTCTTCCTAGGAGACTTCAGGACTCTGAGAGAAGTGTCAGAGAGCAAGAGGCAAGAAATGGAATCTGGAATGTTTGAGGTTCAGGCTGACAGTCCCCTTGGGAATGCCTCCCTGGAGCGACTTCCTTTACTTCCCATTCATCCTGGGGCAGAGAGAGGGCAGCCAAAACCTTCTGGGACTATTTAGGCATGGACACTGAAGCCAGATAGGGCCCTCTCTTCTGGAAGGCAATGGTCTAGGGTGTTGCAACTTGCCCTTGCAGTGCCACCTTGCCCAGCACCCCCTGGGGAACTCACCCAACCAGTAGGCCTCCTGAGACTCTGGATGCTACAATGTCAAGGGTGTGAATCCACACCCTGTCAGGCTCTACTAGGTTTCCAGAAGGCACTTGAGCTTGTAGGGCAACTGGTCTGGCCCGTGCTTGGCAAGTGTGAGCCGCACAGATGAGCTTTAGGCCCTGGCTGCCACCTTGCCAGTGTGGGCCAGCTGGTTCTGGTCAAACGGCGTAGGTCCAACCTCTTCCTCTCCTCCATCGAGATCTAGGAAACAAGAGTGATCTTAAATATAACTGGGTTCATGTCATTTATTTGGTTAAAGCCCTTCAATAGTTTCCTTCCTATCTCACTTAGAATAAAATCCATATTCCCTGCATGGCTGTCACCCTTACTGTTTAACCTGAGTGTGGTCTGAATGGGTAGCCCTGGTGTCTCCTGGGACCTTGTCAGAAATGGGACTCCCAGGTCCCACCCCAGAGCTGCTGAATCCAAATCTCCATTTTAGCATGATTCCCAGGTGATCTGTGCGCTCGTTAAAGTTTGAGAAGCTGGCCTAGACAGCCCTTGTGATTGCCCTAATCCCTCTACCCACCTAAAGCTACCCCCCATCTCATTTATTATTCATGCCTTATCCTACTTATCACGGTTTACAATGATTTTACTTGCTTATCATCTGTCTATCAGGCTAGAATACAAGCACCTTGAGGACAAAGACCACAAGCAGTTTTGTTCATTGTTCTCTTTAGCATCTAGGTTAGTGCCCAGCATGTAATGGAGGATTAAGGAATATTCGTTGAACGAATGATGAGTTCTCTGCCTTTAACCTTCTGACCTAGTGTTTATCAACAAGGGAGCTATTGATGAGACAGTTCTTCTTGAGCAGGTTCGCCTGGAATACTGCAGGATTTAACATCCTTGGTTCATCCTCACTAAATGCCAGTAGAACTCCCCAGTCGTGGTGACACTCAAGAAAGACACTCCTACACATTTCTGAAGTCTTCTAGGCGGATGGTATTATGCCTGGGTGAGACCATTGCCCTAACCAATTTTGTCTGACCTTGTCTGACGGAACATACCCTGACGTACGCCGTGGGGTCCAAGAGTTGGGAAATCTAGGTTTGAATCCGTTTGCTACCTATGTGGCCTTGGGCAAATCACTTAACCTTTTGGGGCCTCATCTGGGAAACAGGAATCTCAGAGGTGTGTAGAGGATTAAATGAACTGACTATACAAGTGGCACCACGCACATAGTTGGCTCTCATTATGTAGCAGCTAGTAGGCAAGTGGAGGCATGTTGTTCTAGGATCTCTGGAGAATCCCAGAATCCTAGAATCAGAATGCTGGAAATAGAAGTGATGGTGAGATCACAGACATCTTTGGCCAGGCAAAGGCCTAGTGTTTTATTCTAAATAGTACACCTGAAGCTGAGAACTCAGCCACGAGGCAGCAGGGCTGGGTGTGTGATTTAGTGTCCAGGGCCTGGCTGGCCCTAAGAGTGACCTCCACAAGTTTCTGCCACCTGGAAGGGAGTGATGATGCCAAGGGGTGGTGAGGCAGGGCAACTGTAGGCAGGCTCCTGGCAGGGGAGGGAGGGTTACCCAGGGCTGTGTCAAGAATGGGGCATCCTCTTAGCAGCAGGGGAAGGCCTCTGGTAATATATTTTTTTAAGGCTTTAAAATCAAGTTGCATTTAACTTTGAAAGAATAGGTCATTGCATCCAAAACCTGATAAGTGCAACAAAAAATTACAGTACATTCTTGCTTTTGAATATAGATGGCAAACATTCTAAACAAAATATTAACCCGTGGAATGAGGAGTTTTATAGAAAAACATACAATGGCTGACCAGGATATATGCCAGAGATGGCTGAAAGTCACAAAGTCTATCAGTATAAATGATTATAACCACAAATTAAAGGAGAATAATACATGACTACAGCAACACATGATGAAATGTCATTTGAAAAAAAGTATTCGGGAGGCATTCCTAATGAAGGAAGCTACTTCCATACAACAAAGATCATTTACCTGTGCTGGTCTTTTAACTAAAGTGATGTAGCGAGGTTGGGCCCATGGCTTGGGGTCATCACCGGCAGAAGAGTTGATTCTTCCCTTTCCTTAGGGAAGAATGAACCTTGAACAGAAGATGAAACAGAACAGGCTTTGGATCCCTTTGGAATGTAACTTGATCTAGATATTTAAAGGAGAGGGTCTCCATAAATTTAAAAGACCAGAAAATGTATTCCACTTTACTTATCTATTTATTTTTTATTTATTTTATTTTATTTTTTATAAATTTATTTATTTATTTGTTTGTTTTTGTTTTTTGTTTTTTGGCTGTGTTGGGTCTTCGTTGCTGTGCGCAGGCTTTCCCTAGTTGCGGCTAGCCGGGATACTCTTCGTTGCAGTGTGCGGGATTCTCATTGTCGTGGCTTCTCTTGTTGCAGAGCATGGGCTCTAGGCGCACAGGCTTCAGTAGTTGTGGCACGTGGGCTCAGTAGTTGTGGCACGTGGGCTTAGTTGCTCCATGGCATGTGGGATCTTCCCGGGCCAGGGATCGAACCCATGTTCCCTGCATTGGCAGGTGGATTCTTAACCACTGTACCACCAGGGAAACCCCATATTTACCTATTTATTTTTAAAACCACAAATCAACTAGAA